GGCATTAGTTTAATTTCTTCTGATTAGCTTGGGTGAAGATTGGTTAGAACGATCTTCTCACTTCCTTTCACCAACCACCCGTAATAATTATTATGGATAACCCTAGTGGTTATTACGGTCCGCCTTCTTTCTACCAATCACCTAACCGCCCTCCGTTTCAAACCCATCCACCTTACCACCCGCATCAGAACCCATACGATGATGACTACCAAGTCAACAATGGGTCTGACTACTATCCCTACCATGAGGAACCACCATATGATACCCCATCTGAAAACTTTGGATATTCTCCGTACCAAGACTTTGATGGGGGAGATCATTATGAACCTCATGGTGATCACGATGACTATGACCGCAATGGGCCTATATACGACGATCAAGCTGATCCGCTCGTCGAAGAAATAACAAGATTAGAACGGAAAATCTTCTATTTCGACGAAGTTTTATTCGCTGAAGGCTCCTCGTATGAACCACCCTACTCCCGTGACTATACCCTGTTTGCCGAAGAACAAATTGAAGCAAACTAGGTGGCAATTCGAGAAAGAGCAAAACTTCTTGAATTAGTCCGGAAGGAAAAGGAGTTCAAAAGGAGATTATGCGAAGGACCAGAGATGATGCAGAAAATGTTGGATGACTTCCAAAGAGAGAGACTAGAAGTCGAGGCTAAAGCTGATAAATTAGTCAATGATCTCTGTAAGGCTGTTGAACTTAAACGCTCCCTCCAATCTCAAGATCAAATGAGGGAGGCTAAAGCTGAAAAAACTACAACTGTCAAATAAATTCCAATTGTAACAATTTACAACTCTGGTTGGATGATCTGATTTTATTTATTGATCCTACCGCAGTGCCCTAAGTCTCTCATCCTTATGACCAAGACTTAGTTAAGACTAACCCGGGGCGAGTCAGTACCCTAATTACGGGTTTCGCGCCTAACCAACGTAAACCGGTCGTCTCACTTCGGTGAGTCCGTTACCGATCTAAATTGGGTTTGACGAGTGACGGGGCGTCGGGGTGGCACAGACTTAAAATTATGACGGATTAATTACGCAGTCTTGCCTATGGCATACACCGCGCGTATGCACTAGCGAAAATCACATACATGCATACATTCAATCATACATCACATGCATAATAAGTAAACGTGAAATGATTGTGGCTCCTAAAGAAAAACAAACGACAGCGCCTTGATCAAGAGATCTCTATCTCCGGCCCATCACGTCTTCCTTAGGATTCTCTATCACGAACGGACTTCATCTTCTTATCTTCTTATAATTTTCGAGAGAAAAGAATATTTGAGGTAAAGAAGAGAATTACATCCAGAGTATAGAGATGAGGCACGACACACAGGCCGTATTTAAAATTACAACAAATATAACTAAGCCACAATCATCCACCATGCAATAATACATACAAGCATCACATGCATCACATCATACATATTAAAGCATACACCGGGCGAACCGCGCTCGCCCCAGACCTAGTTTATTCTATTCTACGGAATAAACTATCAACAATAAATTAATTAAACTAGCAAGTAATTTAATTAAAAATCATAAAATACTTTAAATTTCCAGAATGTTAGAAATTTGATTTT